AGCCCTAGCTGACCTCGCTCGCCTGCCCGCCTGCCGGCTGCCTCGTCCGCCCAGCTCGGTGTGTGGGCTTGAGCACGAGCCATGCCGGCTCCCGACCGCCGCGACGAGCAGCCTCAGCCCCGGACGCCCGCTTCCGTCGCGCCCTCGCCACCGCCACCTCCCCTTACGGTTTCCCTCTTAGATGGCGGTGGGGACGCGTCCAGATCCAGAGTCTGGCTCATCAAGGCCTTGACCGACGCTCGCTCTCCTCGCGCAACACCACAGCCAACGAGCTTTCGACGCAGGATCGAGGCCTGTCCACAAGAGGCAGGCGGATGGAGCGACGCAGCAACACGGTGGGGCTCGAGTCAGGCAGGCGGGCGGATGAGGGGGCTGCGAGCCAGGCCCAGGCCCACGCCTGCGCCGTGCCTGCCCTGCCAGCCAGCTTGTCTGCCTCGCCTCAGTCGCCTGCCTTCCCCTGCCTGCCTGCCTGCCTGCCTGCCAGCTTGCCAGCCCCGACGTCGCGCCAGGCCTGGGCTGGCCTCTGATCCTACCGACCTGCCCGTGATTTTTCTCGAGGGTGGCCGTCAAGGAGATGCACGCCTTTTTTTTTCGATGCCTCCACTCGCACGAGAAGCTTGGGCCGTTAGTGTGTGGTCGCTCGGAGGGGCGGGAGTCGGAGCTCGGTGGCTCGCTCGCCTGCCTGCCTGCCTGCCCGCCTGCTTGCTCGACCTGCTCGCCTCGGCGCTACTCAGGGGCATGAGCCTAGACCAGCAGCAGGCAGGCAGGTAGGCTCTCTTGAGAGGCGGGGCCAGCCAAGCGGCCGGGCCCAGCCAGAGAGGACCCTGCATGCTTCTCCGCGATTATTCGCCTCGCACGCACGCACGCACGCACGCACAGCAAGCGCAAGGTCGGCTCGGCCCCCTTCGTGCCCACGCTCGCTCTCACGACTCATCCCGGCCCTCTTAGCCTGCTGCCTGCCTGCGTGCCGGCCTGCCGGCCTGCCGGCCTGCTGGCCTGCTCGGCGGTCGGGAGGCCACCACGACGCCGACGACCGATGCCGATGGCGCCGCTGCCCGCCGACGACGACGTCGACCACAACAGAGCAAGAAGAAAGCAAGCAAGGAGCGCTCGCTGCTTGGCCGGCCTGCCTTGTCGACTCACGTCCACCACCCTTGCTTCAGCCTGCCATCGGCCACCCCGCTTCCGACTCAAGCCTTCTCTCGCCGCGCCCCGCTCCGCCCTGCCTAGACCACCGTAGAAGGAGGCAAAGAAGAAGAGCAAGAGAGTAGAAGAAGATCACGGCAAGACCGCAAAGATGGCCGAGACCGCCGCCTCGCCCGTCCAGAAGCCCAAGCATGCGCCGCTGAAGGACGAGCACGAGGTCCTCGCCACGGCTCTCGAGCACCTCGTCGGCGACACCGAGGCCACTGCGGGTGAGTCTGCGTGGATGTAGTGTTAGCTTAGCGTTCGGCGCCGACGCCATCGCCGCACCGACGTCTGACCAGCGCACCTTGCCTCGTCGTCCCTCCCATCCCTGCGCCGCTCTCGTCCCCCCCTCCTCAGCCCAGATCCTGCGGCTCAATGCCGACCACTCGGCCATCACGCCGGGCATCGCGTCCAAGAAGCAGCACGCCCACTGGTGGAAGCGCTTCTTCCCGGACGGCTTCCAGGACCGCCTCGACGAGCTCTTTGTCGACTACGGCATGGGCAACTACGTGGCGGTGCGAGGGCAGAAGGACGCCAAGATCTTCGAGAGCATGCCCATCTACGTGCGGATCGGCATGCACCTGCTCTTCTACAAGAGCCGCGAGGCGTCGTTCCTGCGGTACGAGTCGGTCGAGGACCTGCTCAAGACCGTCTCGGTGCGCCAGGGCAAGGTCTACGACGACTCGTCCGACCCGCAGGCGGTGCTGGCCCACATTGCCAGCTTTGTTCAGACCTACAACATCGACCTCGGCGAGCTGCTCGAGCAGGACCTCGCGCGCTACCCGAGCTTCAACAGCTTCTTCTTCCGCCGCCTCAAGCCGGGAGCGAGGCCCCAGGCCGAGCCCGCCAACGCCGCCGTCGTCGCGTCGTGCGCCGACTGCAGGCTGACGGTGTTTGACAACGTCGCCCAGTCGCAGCAGTTTTGGATCAAGGGCCAGGCGTTTGCGCTCAACCGCCTGGTCGGCGACACCAACCTCGCCGATCGCTGCTTCCCCCCGGGCAGCTCACTTGCCATCTTCCGCCTGGCCCCCGCCGACTACCACCGCTACCACCACCCGGTCGGGCCGGTCGTCTGCGGTCCGACCCGCCACTGCGCGGGCGAGTACTATACGGTCAATGTGAGTCGGCCCCGCGGACCCCTCCTCGGTCGGTGCGGATGGCCACCTGCCCGCTCAAGCTGACAAGAACCTGTCTGCCTCGCCTTGTCTCGTCTGGCCATCTGCTCGCTGTGGCGTCCATTCGTCGCCTCGCCCTGCCCGTTCACCCTCCCGATTGCACAGCCGCAAGCCGTCAATGCAGACTTTGACGTCTTTACCTGCAACCGGCGCGACGTGCTGCTGCTCGACTGGTCGCCGAAGCCGGAGGGCGAGCGTTACACGGTGGCCTTTGTGGCCATCGGCGCGATGCTCGTGGGCTCGATTGGCTGGGTCAACTCGACCCAGGGCAGCTCGGCGGAGCGCGGCGACGAGCTCGGCTACTTTGCCTATGGAGGATCGACGGTGATCGCCGTCTTCCCGCCCTCGGCCAAGGTGCAGTGGGACCGCGACCTCCTCGACAACTCGACGGCCGGGCTCGAGACGATTGTGCGCGTCGGCGACCGCATCGGCGTGTCGACGGCCTGAGCGCGCTCGCTCGCTGGTCTGCCCCCCTGCCACGTCCGCCAGGCCGGCTCTCTGTGTTCTATCTAACAACCAACTATACCCGTGCTGCTCCGTCTCACCATGACCACATTCATCAGCAGCTAGGAGCGCACGCTGCCCGGGTGCCGAGTGCGAAGCTTGCCAGTGTCGCCGTCGACGAGTGCGTGTGTCGATATCGAACATCGTGTGAAGCGTACATCGAAGCCTTCGTTTGCGCTGCGCTGCGAGCAGCCAGGTCAACGGATGCGGCGGGCCAGCAGGGGCGAGGCGGGCGGGCGCGTGGCCAGGCGGGCGGGGGGACCCTTGGACCGAAATTGGACTTTGTCATTTTCTTCGCAGGCGCGGCCCGGTGGGCGCACTCACGCGAAGGGCTCGGACCCCCACCTCTCCTCTCGACGAGCAGCCGCAAGGGCCTCTGCGCCACAGTTGGCTGCGCAGCGTCGGCCCCCGTCCTCTGCCACAACCACCACCACCACCTCTTCCCTCTCAGCGCCGCCTCTCTCTGCACCCCAAGCATCGCCCCGTCTCCCACACGCTCGTTTGTGACTGCACCGGTCCCGGCAAAGATCCAGAACGAGACTACGCTTCCGGCCCATACCCAGACCGCCGGCCGACATCCGACATCGCCCGGCCGCTATTGCTGCCGCCGAACCGCGCCGACCACCACCACCGCCGCTCTCCGACACCCAGCATCCCGGCGAGTCCTCTAGGCTTCGCAGTCGTCTTCGCCCACCATCCGCTCCTTTCACCTCTCACCGTTCCGAGATGCGGTCTCGACCTCACCGGTAGCGTCCAGGACGACGGAGGCGTGCTCGCGCTACGCTGCGGCGTCCTTCGGCGCGCTCGCAGCCTCCCGGCCTGCCTCGCTGCGCATCGCCGGTCAGGAACGGCTGTGCCACGCAGGGCCTTCTCGGATCACCCTCGATGCGGCGCGGCCGCCCGCAGCTCAGGCGAGAGGCGCACACTCGAGCTCCCGCAACCCTGGGCGGCAAGTCGAGCCTCGGAGAGACGAGACCGACGATACGCAGGGGCTCCTCGACCGGTATCCGCGCAGCAAGACACCCTTCACCGCACACCACCCCGGCGGCCTATACGGCCCGCGCAAGTCTGAACAGACGCGGGATGGAAAGCCGCAGGAGCTGCCCGGCCTGTTTCGGGACGTGGTCGAGGGTCGCGATCGCCGCCACGGTGACGAGCTGCCGTGGACCTCTGTCGATCCGAGGTCGAGACTGGATCTCCTCTCTCCTCGTGGCGACCGATCTTGGCCCTTTGTCACGCCCAAGCCCGAGGACCTCTTCCGCGACGCCTACATCGCCCGACCCGATCGCTTCGACTGGCGGCAGAGACGCTCTTCTCTTCTCAGGACATCGCTGGCTACCGGCGGATCCTCTTCCACCACGAGCGACAGCAAGTGGCCCGCCCAGAGAAGGAAGCCGTCCGCAGCGATGCTCGTGGGTGACGAGGGAAAGATGACGGAAAAGGCGATCCGCTGGCGCGAAAAGGCGCTGCGCAAGCAGGGCCTCTCGGCACGGGACATTGCGCTCGAGCGGCTGCGCCTCGAAGCTCGGAAAGGGGAGCGCGCAGGGATCCGCGCCGAGGCTGCCGCTTACCGTCAAAGGTGGCTCGACATCCTCGACCTCGAGCGGGCCCGCGAGATGCAGGAGATCCGCGAGCGCCTCAAGAGCCCCGTCGACAGGCTCATCGAGGATGGGTTGGCCTTCGACGGCCTGCAGGCGTACTGGCAGGACGACAGCCGCCGCCACTTTGGCAAGCGCGTGGCCGTCTTTAAGCTGTCCGGGGCGCAGGAGCTCCCGCGCAGCCACTTCAAGATCGGGGACAAGGTGACGATTGTCCCTTCCGCGCTGGCCTCGCAAGCGGCCGGAGACGTCGAGTCCGCCGATGATGCGTCTGCGTCTATGTCGGCCGACGCCGCCGAAACCGTCGACGCGGCAGCTGCGATGGCCGAGCTGGCGTGGGACGAGCATCGGATCGAGGCCGAGATTGTCGACAAGCAAAAGACCTACCTGCGTCTCAAGTTCGACGAGGAGCTTGAGAAGACGGACCTGGTGGGCTGCCCTTCCTGGCGGCTCGACCACGGCTACAACGACCTCACCTACGAGCGGATGCAGGCGGCCATGGAGGCCATCGACCACGACGTCGAGTTCGTCGAGAGCCGCGGGGGCACCAAGTACCAGAACATCCTGTCCGGCACGCGCCTCAACGACCTCATCCTGGGCGTCGACCCTCCCGGCGACCGGACGACGCGCGGGGCCTTCTGGGAGGATGCGCGGATCCAGAGCTGGTACGACCGGTACTCGCGCAGCGATCCGCTCGTCATCGACGGCGACCCGGACCTCGGCCTCAACGCGTCGCAGACCAAGGCGATCGCCACCATGCTCAAGGAGCGGATCAGCCTCGTCCAGGGCCCCCCGGGCACCGGCAAGACGCGGACCATTGTCCAGGCCATCAAGCTGCTCAAGCACGAGTTCCAGGTGCCGCACCCGATCCTGCTGGCGGCGCACACCAACGTCGCCGTCGACAACCTGGCCGAGGGGTGCATCCGCGCCGGCCTCAAGGTGGTCCGCGTCGGCCCGTCGTCGCGGGCGCGCACCAGCATCGCCAACGCCACGCTCGACGCCTACTTCATCCGCCATCCGCTCAAGGCGCGGCTCGACGACATGAAGCGCCGCATGGACGCGCTCGAGAGGCAGAAGGGCGCCCTCGACGCCGCCAACCGCTCTCGCGATGCGGCCGGCGACGTGAGCGACCTGGACGGCTGGGACGCTCTGGCGGATGCCACGGCCGGCGCCCTGCCCACCTCTGGCGAGACGCCCGAACAGCAGCTCGGCAAGCTCAAGCGCACCTACTACTTCCTCCGGTCCACCATACGCGGCCAGATCCTCAACGGCGCCGACGTCATCTGCGGCTCGGCCATTGCCGCGGGCTCGCCCGAGCTCGATACCATCGACTTCCCCGTGGTGTTTTTCGACGAGGGCTCGATGGCGACGGAGCCCATCTCGCTGGTGCCGCTGATGAAGGGCTGCCGGCACCTGTCCATCATTGGCGACCACAAGCAGCTGCCGCCCGTCGTGACGAGCGCCGACGCCAAGGAGGCGGGCCTGTCGCGCAGCCTGTTTGAGCGCCTGATCGAGAACCGCGAGAAGCGCAAGCCTGTCAGCTCGACGATGCTCGATGTGCAGTTCCGCATGCACCCCTCGATCGCAGACTACCCCGTGGCGACCTTCTACGGCGGTGCGTTGGCGAGCGGCGAGAGCACCCACGCCATCGAGCCGGTCCAGTCGACGTTCTTGCCGTGCCATCGCGACGCTGTCGGTGCTGCCGATGCCGGCAAGGGGTCGGGGCGGGACGAGGTGGCTGCCCGGTACCTGGGCTTCGTCCACCACACCGGCCACGAGTCCAAGGCGGACAACCATTCGCTGCAGAACCACTCCGAGTCTCGGCTGCTGCTCGAGATCCTGGTCGACCTGCTGGCGCGCAACCCGTCGCTGCGGGGCTCGGACATTGGCATCGTGACGCCGTACCTGGGCCAGCAGATCCTGCTGGAAAAGATGCTCCAGGTCGAGGCGTCGCCGCAGCGGAGGAGGGCCGTGGCGCTGCTCAAGGGCAACGTCGGCCGCGCCAGCGAGCTGGGCGACGTCGACATCCACACCGTCGACGGCTTTGAGGGGCGCGAGAAGCGCGTCATCCTCTTTTCCACGGTGCGCACCAACCCGGCGGGCTACGTCGGCTTCCTCGCCGACGGGCGGCGGCTCAATGTGGCGCTGACGCGCGCCCAGAGCTGCCTGCTCGTCGTCGGGAGCGTGCAGACGCTGCGCAACGCAAAGATTAGCGAGTCGGCCGCCTCGCGCATCTCGGGCAGCGGCGGCGGCGGAGCGGGCAACGTCGACAGCCCCAACGTCGAGGCGCTTCGAGGCTATGCCGAGTACGTCGAGGCCAAGGGCCTGGTCGTCGATGCCGAAGAGAGGGTGCGGGAGCTCAAGCTGCAGCGCGGCGAGATCACGGCAGAGGAGGCCCGGGTCGAGCAGGTGGAAGAGGAGGAGCAGGGCGGCGGCGGCGACGACGAGCACCAGCCGCAAGAGGCCACCTTTGCGGAAGCAGATGCAGGATCAGGGAGCTTCGAGGACCAGCCGAGCTGGGAGGACCTCACCCACGAACAGCGTCTTTAATAGAGTGGGCCGTCCCGGCGCCTTCACCTCATCCTCATAGCATCCATGCTGGCCAGCCTGTCTCGTTATCAACATGTGGTCCCGACACCACGCTGGCGCCATCGCACACTCAGACAGCACGCGGAGAGGCCCCTCGACGGGCCAGACGGACAGACACGGGGTCAGAGAGTGGTTTGATTATCGATCCGAGCCACACAGGCTCTCAACCGGACGAGGTGGCGCGCCTTGGGGCCTTTGCCACGGCTGCCGGCTGTTTACTGCTTGTTGAGGTTCTCGATGTTCTTCTCGACCTGTCGATGGCAGAAAGGGGCGAGGCGCAAGGGATGTCAGCGAACGACTCGAGAGGGGGGCGGTATTGAGGGAAAGCCCTCGGTGCGACTACGTACCTCGTCGAGGTGCTCCCTCTGCTTCTTGATCGACTCTCGCACTGTTCAGTGAAGGGGAGGTGAGCGGGGCAGGGTCGAATGGCAGCGTGTCGACGGCAAGGTGAGCCTCGATCCGCAGCGCAACAACGCACAGTGGTCACCGTCGCGTGCAGCGGTGGCGGATGTGATGTACTATACTCACGCTTTGCGAGCTTCTCCTGCTCGGCCTTGCGGACGTACTGGGCCTCCTGGGACTGCTCCCTCTCCTTGAAGCCCTTGGCGCTGGCGGTGGATCCGGCGGTGGGGGTGGGGCCGTCGGCGTAGCCGCGCGTGGCCATGACAAACGTCGAGGGCGCCGCGGAGCGGGCGCCGGCTCGCGAGAGGGAAAGCGTGGCGGTGCGGAGGAGAGACATGCTGGACGTTGGGTCGGGTTGGCTTGCGTTGGGGTGTGAGTTGCAGATGAAGATCGAAGGTCGGGACGGATGGTGGTGGTAGTGAAGAGGGGCTATGGACGAGACCGAAGAGGGTAGGTTGGCTTTGGGCAGCCAGACCACTTCCGGCGGCGACGGCGAGAGAGGGGGGCCAGACCGGGCGGCAGGTCGATCGTCTGTGGGTCAGGCGCGGCTATGGGGCAGGGTGCACGGACGTCATCGGGCAGCCGGTCTGGAGCGACGGGCGCGCAGCTGAGGCCACCCGGGCTGCCCATGCTCGTGCTGAGCCGCGCTCGTCGTTCGCTCGCCAACTCCCGAAAAGCCGAGCCGGCAAGGCTCGGATCCGATGCGGCCTGGGGCGGGCGCGGTCGGCTGCGTCGTTGGTGTGATCAGGTCGGGGTCGACTTGAAAACGAAGGCAGGCACGCCAGCCAGAGGCGTGCCCGCAATTGAATCCAATCGAGGACCACTTTGAATTCAAGCCGCCTGGCCCGCCAAGGCCTTTGAACTGGGCCAGAAGAATTTGTTCTGTTAGGTGGGCCCCGGCTCCCCGCCCGCGCACTGCTGCTGCTTGCTTGTGTGTGGCCACCTGGCTTGGCTGGGGCCCGCGCTGCCCGGACGCTGCCGCCTGCGCCCGCCGCCCGCCGCCAGCCGGCCGGGCGGGCAGGAGGGCGCCAACGTCGAGAAGGCCTCTGCTCGCCATCGCGATTTCGAGGTCCATCACCATCACCCATCCCTCACGCTCCACCTCCGCCCGCCCCCACGCACACTCGTCTGTTTCACAATGGCCTTCACCACCTTCGTCGCCCGCAACGTCCTCGGCGCCGTACGTATCCTACCGGTCGATCTCGGCCCCTCGTCTTCATCGCCCATCTCGGACGCTCCTTTGCTGGTCGGCCGGCAAGCTTCCGACCATCGGCCGTAGGACTCGTACCGCTTGAAGGCATCCCAGTCGCCTGGTGGAAGCCGCATCGCTTTGCCACCGGGCGGCAGTAGGATTGCTCTCTCTCCCTGCCGGCAGAGGAGGCCCGGCCCGGCACGGACCGCGCGAATCGATTCGCAGCAACCATCACCAGGAAACGTCTGCTGACCAGCTTCTGTCCCCGCGCCACTTGCCTTGTCCTCTCGTCTTCCTTGCGACTCCGCCTCGCTCTTTGCTTCATCCGACCTCTACAGGCTCGCTCGGCTTCCCGACAGCAGGTTCGCGCCATCTCCAGCTCGTCGGTTGTTGCCAAGGGTGAGCTTCAAAGCGACCTGCGCCTCGTCTTCCAAGGATTCGCCGCACCGGTCGAAAGCATCGCGAAGGCCGCTCCTGCAGGCACCCGCAAGCCCTCTCGCAAGACCTGTGTGCCGACTGGCGAATGCGCGACAGTGCGCTGACAGCCAACCAATCCCTTCTGCCCGTATTTGCTGCTCTCGCTCGCTCAGACCACATCCAGGACCTCTACCTCCGCGAGCTCAAGTCGTACAAGGCCCCGGCCAAGGTGAGTATTTCTGACGATGGTCACATCTCTCTCGCTTCTCAGGCACCTCTGTCCGGTCGAGGCAGGCCTCGCATGCGGGCGCTTATGGATCGAGGAGACCTCGGAAGGCAACGTGCGGAGCTCGACATTCTCTTCGCATTCGTGGATTGGAGGTGCCTTCGGCGTTGGACTTCGATGCGGGGAGCCGTCCCTTGCACGCAGGTCGCTCGCCCATGCGATGGCACACTGCCGGGGGTCTCGACGCACGAACTGCCGCCAAAGGGCGACGCTGGTCGCCTGCGAGGCCACGAGTCAGCAGCGCCAGGCCTCGTCCCCTCGAGACGATTGGGCTGCATGCGCCATTGGGCAAGCGGCCGGAGCCTTCGCCGGCAGTGTCATTGCAGAGCGGATGAGGAAGGCTGTCACAAACGACGACGGCCGGCATTTGCAAACTGCCATCCTCCGACTCGGAGCCTGCTTATTGACGCGCCTTGCACCTCCCTCTCTCCTTGTCCTATCCTGCGATTGTTGCACGCGCCCAGGCTGCCGACGCGCACAAGGGCCAGGTCCGTGACTTCCACGCCCCGCAGCCGCCCAAGGCGCCCGCGGTGCCCTCGTCGGGCGAGCTGTCGTCGCAGCTCGAGGCGTACGCCGCTGCCGAGCCTGACCTCGCCGAGGCTGTCAAGGAGTCGTCGAGCTCTGAGCTGACCGAGGGCGGCGACGTCAACGCCTACCTTGCCGAGGCCGCCGCCGACATCAAGGTCGAGGCTGCCCACCACTAAGCACCTCTCCAGTGGTACCCGGAGCGAATAGACGTATATGACGGAGCAGGCGACCGCGGCCGTCGACGATGCTAGCAGCGGGCGATCACCTCACTGCGCATCGTTCGGGGCTTGATATGATGCTGCCGTAGCTCGACGACGGTCCGAATGAAACCCCGGTTCGTGTTTTGCACCAGGATCGATTGCGGCGCAGCGGGTGCAGTGCACCGTCTCACCCTATTGCCTTGCAAGCATCGAAGGGGCGGTGCGGGCGCCGTGTCTCTCTTTGACTGTTTGTGTCGTGGGAATGGGCGCCGTTAACAAGACGGGGATTAACGGCGGAGCTGTGGTGGCCATGGCTAGAGAACGAGCAGTCAGCCATGGCGTACGGGAAGGGGGAAGGGGGAAGGGGGGAAGAGGAGGGGAGATGAGGAGAGAGCGTGAAAACCAGAGCGCGTCCGAAGGCCTCGATTGTTGGGGTGAGAGAGGCTGTGGGCGGGGCGGGGCCCGGCGACGAGGATGTGGAGAAGACTCGGCACGATGCCGCTCGCCTCTTTCTCTGGCACCTTGGCGTGGACCCTAGTCTGCCTGCTCGCTCTCTTTCTCTTGGCTCCGCGCTCCATCCCTCACGCCACCACCACCACTACTCTGGCTCCACCGCATCCTCCCGCTGGCCACCACCACCCGCCATGTCGCAGGGAACAGAGAGCCAGTTCCGCTCCCAACTCGCAGGTACGTCGCCTTTCCACGCCGCCCCCCTTCTTCCTCGATCCTCTCCTCTCCCCTCACCTCCTGTCCCTTCCAGATAGAGCCAAGGCATTGACTCTCGACCTCCGATCGCCACTTCACCTTGACACGCAACTCGTTAGGCTTTCGATGGGCACAAGGCCGCACGGATGACTCGCCGGCCGGTAGGGCGGCGGCATCGGCCAACTCGACAAACGCTGGCGGAGGCGGAGGCGGGTCGTACATGTCGATGTTGACCAACTCGATCAGCGGCTACGTGCCCCTCCGCTCCGACCAGAGAACGAACGAGGAGGAGGCCTACATCAGCCTTAGCCGCTGGGAACGGTGAGTGGGCGTACCCGAGCGCACGATCCCACCCCTTTCCCCTACGTCGTCGCCGAGCAGCAAGACTCACCACCTCGTCTCTGATCCCCCGGGACGCCTCGACATCCCCATCTCGACTCCAGGTTCCTCGGCTTCCTCGCCTGCATAGCCGGGGCGGGCGTGTGCTTTCTCTTCTCCTTTCTCTTCCTCTCGCCGCCCATCCTCGCCGTTCGGCCGCAGAAGTTTGCCCTGGCCTTTTCGTTGGGCAGTCTGCTCTTTATGATCGGGTGAGTGGAGCTGCACCGCGTTGCAGAGGCTGCCGTGTCCAGGCAGCAGGTTCCGTAGCAGCGCCGACTCTCTGACGATGATGCTCTCGCCCTCCCGCCCCTTTTGCTCCTCTCGTCAATGGGACCGGACAGGTTCTCGATCCTCTCTGGACCCGTGGCGCACCTCAAGCACATCCTCAGCAAGGAGAGGTTACCGTTCAGCGTAGCGTGCGTCCCAGACCCGCCTCACAACAACACGCAGAGCCACAAGAAGACTGACGTTGGGCGCGCCCCCTTGCTCTTCCTGCCTCTGTCCCGCCACCGGGTCGATTGCGACCCACGCAGCTACTTTGGCTCGTTGGGCCTCACCATCTACTTTGCCGTCGGACGGCGCTCCATGATCCCCACGCTCGTCGCTGCCATCGTCCAGGTCGGCGCGCTACTCACCTACCTCGCCGCCTACTTTCCTGGAGGTGAGCACCGTCCCCCACCGACTGGCTGGACCGCGTGCCGCCCTTGCTCAATCGCCCTGACTGACCCGCATCCTGCTTCTCCGCTCGACACACCACGCCCCGGCAGGTACGACGACGCTGCGCTACGGCGGAAGCATGTTGCTCAGAGGCGGTGCTTCGCTCCTGCCCATCTGAGCCCACCGCCAGGGATAATGATAACACCAGGTCCCGCAGCATTCGGGCGTTCGGCCCGCAATCAGGCCAAGCAGGGCCAGAGCCGGCCAGTCAGCCGAACGATTCACGATCCATGGCGGTGAGCCGCGTGAATTTTGGGGGAGGGCCGAGACCGAGACTACAATGACATGGACAGAGGGATGGGTAGGGGAAGGACGACAGGAGCTGACATGCCAACCCCGCGACAGGCGCAGCCAAACAGGCTCAGAGGCGGCGGCGGCGGCGGCGGCAGACTAGCCGTGGATGCATGCCCAAGGCAATCCGGGCGACCGACCTGCGCCCGCGCCCCTCGACGCACTGGCCACTGCTCAGTTGGTCTCGGCCTCGAGCGTCGTGCCGCGGCGCACGGTACCCCAGCCGACCAACCTCCAGTGCTTGTCGATACGTCTCGACAGGGCGATCTTCTCGCCGACTTCGGTGCACGCCGGGCTGGTGAGGAAGATCTTTGCGAGGTCGGCCTTGACGCTCATGACCCTTCCTCCGGTCGACGTGGAGCCGATGTTGACCATGAGCACCTCGTTCTTGGCCAGCTTCTGCACCTTTGTCTGCTTCTTGTCGTCCGACTTGACGCCGAGCAGCCTTCGCAGCAGGAAGTAGTTGATCTCGAGCTCGGTGTAGATGGCCGGCAGCTGGCCGACGGCGCCGAGGACCTGGCCGACGAGTCGGTCGGCTCGGCAGAGGGTGGGGTCGATCTTGGTGCCGACACCGATCAGGCCACCGGGCACGGCAAACTGGAGGTCGTTGTGCTCGGCGAGGAGCGAGGCGACCTTGGAAAAGATGGGGCGGCAGTGGATCTTGCCCTCGTTGTCCTTGGTCACGATGCCCGGTCGCACCTCGATCTCCTGGCCGACCTTGAGCACGCCCGACAGGATCGAGCCACCGGCGACGCCGCCCTTGAGCTCGTCGACCTCGGAACCGGGCTTGTTGACGTCAAACGATCGGATGACGATCAACCGCGGCGACGAGGTAAAGTCGCGGACGGGCACGGGCACCCGCTTGACAATGTACTCGTTGACGGCGTCGATGTTGTACTTGAGCTGGGCCGAGATGGGCACGATGGGTGCGCCGTCGGCGACGGTGCCCTTGACAAAGTTGATGATCGACTTCCAGTGCTCCTCGGCGGCCTGCTCGCGGATCAGGTCGACCTTATTTTGGAGGATGATGATGTGCTGCAGCTTCATGATCTCGACGGCGGCGAGGTGCTCGGATGTTTGCGGCTGCGGGCACGGCTCGTTGCCGGCGATGAGCAATAGCGCGGCGTCCATGACGGCGGCACCGTTGAGCATGGTGGCCATCAGGATATCGTGGCCGGGGCAGTCGACGAACGAGACGTGGCGCAGCAGCTGCATCTTGCCGTCGCAGCCGGGCACCTCACAGGGCGGGTTGGCCTCCTTGTCCGACGGGTAGGAGCGGTAGCATTGGGGTCTTGGGCACGATTCCCGCTCGCACTTGTAGATCTGCGGTGCGGCGCGGAAGAAGGAAGAGCGATCGGCGAGGTCGAGTCAGACGCGGCTCAGCATGCGGCCGTCGGCGTCGGCTTGGCCCGCGTCGCCACTGCCGCGCACACGTACCTTTGCGTTGGCGTAGCCGAGCTTGATGGTAATGTTTCGGACCAGCTCGTTCTTGAAGCGGACGGTCTGAACGCCCGAGATGGCCTTGACGACCGTCGACTTTCCGTGGGCTACGTGGCCGATGGTGCCGATGTTGATGGTGGCCTGCTTGCTGATGACCTCTGGGCTGAGCGGGTGCAGCTTCTCGACATCTGAGGAGCGCAACGGCGAAGCGGCCCAAGGTGCGGTGCATAGGGGAGGGAAGGAGACGTCAATGTCGTTGTTCGAGCCGTGCACGTTGCTGACCTCTTCTACCGCCCTCTGTCCGAGATCTCCCCTTGCCAGACCAGCCCGTCTCCCATCGAGCGGTACCATCGAGCGGTACCATCGAGCGGTACCAGCGACATGCTGCGATCGCCAATGTTGTTTGTCGGCGAGCTTCGTGGTGATAGGCCGGCCGCCTGCATCCTCCACTGCGCAGGTGGGGCCCGGTTCCTCAGCGCGCCGGGCTGTATCATTCCCTCCACCACGCCGCCGAGTATGCTCTTCGCAAGGAGCAGCGCAAGCGGAGAGTCGAAGCTGGATGGCGAGACTAACCAATGCTGACTGCCTGGACTCCCTCTGCGAGCTTGTCAACGTCGCCGTTGGATGCGACCGCCGCCGACATGGTTGGTGGTTGGAATAGGCGGTGAGCAAGTGCTGGTGATGGAGGTGAGTCTCTGGGGCCGCGGCCGATGATGGTGGTTCGGTCCGGCGAGGGATGGCGGTGGTGGTGGTGGTCGTGAGTCGTTTAGACTTGGCCGCCTTTGATTTTCAGACACGAGCGTCAGAGTGCAGCGGTCTCTGTGTAGGATCGATCGATGGTGGGTCGCGGTCGGATGCGCACTGGCAGTCGAGCGAGTTGCGAGGAGTGCGGTAGTGACAGGAGTCGCTGCGTGAAGGCCGAAAGGAGCTGATGGGCAAAGGTGCAGGTGCCAGAGGAGTAGCGGTGATGGTGACGGCGAGCAAAAGGCCCAAGGGTCGAAGGTGTGATCGGCTTCGCTGGCTGGCTGGCTGGCTGGCTGGCTGGCTGGCGGCGGTGCGGTGCGGTGCGGTGCAGCCTGGGGTGGCGCAGGCTGGCCTGCCGTCCTCGGTTTTTTCTCTTCCCGGCCCACGACTCGCCGCCGGGGGGAGGAGTTGCCTGCAGGCCAGGCGGCCAGGCCTGCCAGCAGCTGGCCAAGCCGTCCGGCCTGCCTCAGCCAGGGCCAGCGTGCCGCTGGAAATTCTTCTTGGCCTGCCGCTTCCCTGGCCCTTCGGAGCCGAGCTGAGCCGTCTGCGTTCTGAGCTGACTCGACTGGCTCAGCCACCGGTGGGGGGCCACTCGACAGCTCGCACGAGAGATTTTGAAAACGGTTCAGGCTGGATGGACCCTGCTGGCTTGGGCGCAGATCCTCGGCCAACGCGTGGCACGCGTAAAGCGCTTCGCAGCCAGGGATAGGCCACCCACTCCCCACCACCACGCCAGCCATGCTAGAGTGGTCCGTCACGGTCACGGCACGTCCGTTGCCGCAGCCAACGCCGCTCTTGCGGCTTGATCGACGGCTATGCCAGCCGGCCGCGAGCTAGCTGGTACGGACAGGCCGGCCCAGGTCTGGCCACGCCCAGTCCAGTCGCCTTGCTCGATACGGCATTATTGTCGTCCTTTTTCGCCCCTCTTTTCCCGCTCGACACCACCACCGTTGGCATGCGCCGGCGGGCGCAATCGTGAGGTCGGCGGCGCCACGGTAAAGCGCCGCTTCGCTGCGATGCAGAGGCACGGGGATGGCCCGGGCTGACGACCAGCGGGGCCATGCTGGTCCATTCCCGGCAGCAAGGGGGCTTCGATGCGCAGCATCACCGCGCCAGGCTCCAGACCATCACGGCCAGGCCGCCCATCTTGCCCTGCTGCAAACCCGGCCATGGCACCGGCGTCCGGTCGTCGCGCCTCGACTGCAGACTGGCCAACGTTCCTCCTGGCTGCTAACCCTAAGCTGCCGCCGCACGATCATCGGGCTGGCCACGCTACGTACCTTCCGCGCCCCAGGTGACCTTGGACACCCCAGACGACGACCAAGAGGTCGCGCAGCTGCCACAGCGGCCCATATTCCAGCATCGCTGCCTACGCCCACGACACTGGACAGAGTCAGTAGGGAAGGCAGGGTGAGTCAGGTGCCTCTGCCGGGCGGCTACGGCCTGCGTAGCCATGACCGCACGCCGAGCCAGGGATGCTACCACTCTCTCTCACGTCAGTTGGTCTTCAGAATGCGGTTAGCGTGGGTCTTGGCACCGGAGGCCAGGGCGCAACCGGCGTGAAAACCAAATCGCCGACCCGAGCTTCAAACCGAGCCAGCAGGCAGGGCACGGATCAGGCAGGGCCCCTTTCGTCTTCGCATTCGGGGTCCATGCGGGCGAGAGCGGTGACGGCGGCGGGCTGGACAGCGTGTCAGGTCGTTGGCCCGGCTGTCAAAACCGTACCTGCCACGTTTCGACGACGACGACGACGGCGACGACGACGACGACGTGGCTCGCCGGGCCGCCCTGCAACATCCGACCTGTGTCGGTCCCTTTGCTCGACCCCTGTCGAGCATGAACGCGCCAGAGCCCGGCCAGCACAGCTCTTGGCCATCGTACGGCCCACCGCCACGATTTGGGGGTCCTGGACGGACGCTCCCGCCTAGATCGGCCCGAAGCAGGCTCCATCATGCAGATCCGAGCAGATGCCCGTGGAAAACGATGACCCTACACCGCCTCACACACGTCTATACACAACGACCGCACACCATGCGTGCCAGCCGCCAAGGCCCCCACATTCGCCGTTCCGGCTGCCAGCGAGGCTGACCGCCCTGCAGCTCGCCGCCGGCCCATTGGCAAGATGCAAGCGAAGCTCGACACAGCAAGCTGTTCCCCTTCTTTGGCAGAGCCGTCGGCGCGGGATCACAGGCGACCCGCACAACCAGAATGTCAGACGGTCCATACATATAGGTGGCGCTGAATCGCCTTTCGAGCTCCTTCGCCCGCTGATCCCGCTGAATAGCAGCTCCACCACCACTTCCCGCCACCTCTCTATCGCGATCCGCTTTCCGAAGGAACTCGACACGCCCACAGCACCGTCTCCAAACAGAGATCGACGTCCCGGGATCCTTTTCTCTGCCACGACGGTGTGCCATTCAGGTCACGCACTCAGGAGATGCCCTCGAGCCCCACGTGGATCCATCAGATACTACCTGACCACCAACGACGTCGAGCGTCCTCGACTGCTTCTCAGAATGGCGCTGCTCGAGCCGCGCTGCCGTCAGCGCCGCCAACAACCAGACCCTTCGCAGGCCGCAGAAGCCTGCTCCGCCAGCTGCTTGGCAAGTCGACGTCGAAGCGCAGTGAGCCAAAGGCCATCTCGCTCGAAGCCGGTGCTACTCATGCCCCGGTAACCCACGGCGATGCCCATGTCATTTGCGACGCTAGCAACCTCAGGGGAAGCCTGCCGCAGGCGCAACTGGAGCCAAGCCCTCATGCTCGCGATCGCGACCAAAGCGAGGCCGCCGCCGCAGCGCGACCGAGACGTCCGCAGACGTCGGATGGCATCGCGAGGCCTTCCAAGCCCCAGCAGCCCGCAACCCCGCTTCGACGCCAGAGCGGCAAGCAGGCGCGGCTCGTTTGGCACGACGGGCCCAACGGACCAGAGTTGGTGCAAGACTCGCCACCCCGGAAAGGCTCGCGCGCCGCGCCCAGAGCCTCGACGTCTCCAAGGCCCGCTGCCGCCCAAACTCCAGTGTCTGGAGCCAACACGCCGGACATGGCCACCTCGAGCTCCGAGATGAGGATGAGCGCCGAGAGCCAGAGCTCCATCAGCTGCAGCCGACGTGCCCACAACCCATCAGCCATGACCATGCCCTCACCAGTTCCGAGGCCAAGGCAGCGCTCTGAGCACGAAGTTCTGGAAAGGCCGGCGCTCGGTTTGACGGAGCGAGGCAGCCCCCGTGCACCCCTGGACAAGGCTCCCGTCCTACCAGACAGCAGCGACAGCCGGAGCGACAGAGTTGCCGAGTCTGCAGATGGGCATTGGACCACGTCCATGGGCTCTTCCGCCTATTCGTCCCAGCTGCACCTCGACGTCGATGCAGCATCAGGAGCAGGAGGTGCCTCGTTCGCAGAATCTCGTTCAACGGTCACTGGACAGCCTCATCTGCCTTTCGTCCCAGCACCGGGACCTCCAGCAGCATGCCGCCTTCTCGATGACGACGCGCAAACGACAGAGCCGAATCGTCACGAAACCCCTGCGGCCCAGCTAGCTCCCTCGTCCGGCTTCTCCGAGGATCAGCCTCAAGCTGACAGCGTTGAAGACAAGATCGCACAGTCCTCTGGCATGGTCGACGGACTGGGTATCGCTGCTTCACCATCTCCGCGGTCATCCACGTCACACCTCGCTTCAGTTCCGAGCCCGTTCGCGACCACGGCCCGCGTCACGTTCGGCCAGAACGAACATGTCGACGACTCGGACGTGGCAGCGAGCCCGGCTTCGAGACCCTCATCCATCATTTCAGAGGCCACTCCGCGCAGGATCTCGTTTGCGCCCTCGGTCCGAAGCCGCAACCGGCCCGCTCCCAAAGGCATCGCGCCACTGCTCTTGAGGCCTGACGCATCTGCCTCGGATTCAGTGGCGGCGACGCCAGCAGAGCGAGAATCAACAGACAGGATCGCCGGTCCTGAGGCGAGACGGCCCGGCAGAGAGCGTCGGAAGAGGCCCTCGACCGCTCCGGCCGCACTAGACGGCGATGCTCGCACCGGCGCCGCTTTCGGCCGATCCTACACCTCGGACGACGGCACGACGACGACGGACAGCGACAACGACTCGGAGGGCGAGGAGCCAAGCTTCCGCACGCTGCGACGCCTGTGGGTCAAGGCCAGGAAAGCATCGCCGTCCGAAGAAGAGGCTGAGGAGCTTCGATGCCCAAACCGTTCGTCTGGCGAAGAAAGCGTCGGCGAGGGCGCTGACGAGTCGAACCCCGCCGCTGTCGCTGCGGACGAGGCTGAGTCTGTAGCTCAGGCCGACGCGATCCACGACGATGATCAAGAAGTCGCCGACGCTGCCGAGTCCGCCCAGCGTCGCGATCCGGAACTCGTCTTCTATCCCGGCACTCTGATCCTCGTGCGGGATGGCGTCTCGCTGGACGACACGGACGGTTCGATCACGGTCGATGGCGAGCAATCGCAGAGCCAGGCAGGAAAGACCAGCGCCAGCGCGGCAGAGGCCGACGCCGAGGCTCCTCGACGACGCAGCGGCCTCTTCAGCCCCAAGCTATGGGCTTTCAGGCAACGCAAGGCAGACGTGGATACCGAAGTCGTGGATTCATCTCAGTCGTCGTCGCCGGCGGCGCCGGTGCCCCCAGCACCGGACGTCGAGGCGCGCGAGGCAAACGACATGCAGGGAATGCCGGGGATTGAGGCGCCGCCGACCGACTCAGACGCGACCATCGCAGAGCCATCGATCGAGGAGCAGCCGCCTCCCTTGAAGCTACCGCCGGCCTCGCCTGCTGCCCAACACGGTGCTGCCAGCCTATGGCCAGCGGAACGGCAGCCTGCCCCGACCGTATCGCCGACTAGCTCGCTAAACCCCGTCAGCCTGACCTCGCCAGTCTCGTTGCCCACTCGATCCCCGCCCAGCGCAATGGAGGCCATCCATCCTTCCTCGTCTGTCCCAGACCAAGGGGCGGGGCAGGTCCTGTGGCACGGCAGTCCGCCGGTCCGACACGCCAAGCTACACACGCGAGCGCTGCACCTGCTCAGGCGCGCCGGCCGGCCGCGCACCGCCACGTCGCACGACGCCACCCACGCCACGTCGCGCAAGGCCCTCACCGACGACGGGCCCATGCTCCGCATCGTCAGCAAGGACGGCGCGCCCACGCCCAAATCCGGCGGCGGCATCCTCCTGCCCGAGTCGCTCGAGCGGCCGTACTACTACCCAGCCCCAACGCGCATGGACCTCGACCGCAACCGCCGTTCGGCAAAGAGCCGTTGACGAGCTGGCGCTGTTCAGCCCGTCGGTCTTTCCCCTTCTCTCTCTCTCTCTCCCTCTCTCTCTCTCTCTTTCCTCTCTCTTCCCCACGTCTCTCTCATCTGCATCATCTGCCTCTCATCTCGCCTCTTCTTCCCACGATTGCATGTACGGCAGCAGGCAAGC